AATTTCCAGGTATACTATGTCCTGGCTACCCTTGCCATGCGTTCTACAAAAAAGTACAGACGCCATGCTTCTCAACCATGTCTGTGCAGTGGAATTGCAAGGGGAGGTTTAAAAAGATACAGATGCCTTGGCACCATCCCTCGAGATTCTGGCTTAATTGCTCTTCATGTGGCCCGGCATTTGGAGTTCGAAAATCTTTCCAGGTGGTTGTCATGGGCAGCCAGGGCTGAGAAAATTAAGGTGAATCAGGTTATCCCCTGGGACTATGTCGCGATCGCTCTGTAGTTGGATTTGGGCAGACAGCTCACCCTTGTGCCTTACCCTTATGACCTTAGGACTTGAGGGTGCATAGAATCATCTGGAGGACTTATTAAAATACAGATTTCTGGGTCCCAGTGCCCAGAGTTTCTGGTTTAGTAGGCCTGGGGTGGAGCTGGAGACTTAGCATTTCTAACAAGTTCCAGTTGATGATGATGCTGCTGATCCAGGGAGCATCTTTCGAGACTCTGGTCTTAGGGAGCTATTCTTCCTCTACCCCCCTCTAGGTACCGTTCACTGCCATGGCTCAAGATGCCATGCCTGCCTGTTCCGGTTTTCCCAATTTGTCCTCCGAGGTCTGATTCAAGTCTTCCCTTGATCGGGTCTTCCTGATGGCCCAGCCAGGTGACAACTCTTTCCTCTCCCACATGCTGGGGCTCCTTCTCTGTGACACCCATAGTGGTTGATAGTCACAGGTCATAGACCATAGAGCCGAAAAGATCCTCAGCATCCAACAGTTTAGAACCTTACCTTTAAGCTGAAGATTTCTTTTTCATTCACATGAAATCCTACCCCAAGTGGCAATATTTATTTTATTTTATTTATTGTTTTTTATTTATTTTTAACGTTGATTCATTTTTGAGAGACAGAGAGAGATAGAGCATGAGCAGGGAAGGGGCAGAGAGAGAGGGAGACACAGAATCCGAAGCTGGCTCCAGGCTCCAAGCTGTCAGCACAGAGCCCGATGCAGGGCTCGAAGTCACAAACTGCGAGATCATGACCTAAGCCGGAGTCAGACGCTCAACCGACTGAGACACCCAGGCGCCCCCCCAAGTGGCAATATTTAAGATACATAGATGGGGTGGGGCTAGGAGACTGGGAACACCACCTTATGTACCTCTTTTTCTCCTTTGGGGTCTTGAGGCATTTTGTGGAGGCATATGGGACCTGGGGAGCATAATTTGGAAACCACCCATAGTCCAAGCCTTCACTTCGTGGGTGAGGAGACTGAGGCTCAGAGGGGGTAAATGACGTGCCCATTCATTCATTCCATATTGTTGGTCACCGACTCTGTGTCGGGCATGGTGGTAAGTCGTGCAGGTGGTGAACAGGGTGGACGAGTCCCAGCCGCCACGAGCTTTCTTCTAGCTGGGGAGACAGACGGTGAGTAAGTAAACACACAGACAAAACGATCATAGACTGTGATAAGAACTAATGGGGGATCCCACCATCTGCTAGAGTCACACAAGTTCCAAAAGAGTCTTTGTGAAATGACCTTCATTCTGAGTCCTGAAGGATGAGAGAAAACCAACTCTGAGCCTTGTTTGTGGGTCACAGTGAAAAGTCTGGAAAAACCAGCGAAGGGGTTTAAGCAGGGAAATGACCAGACCCGGATCTTGTTCCTCCTGTGATTTGTCTCCTTTGAGACACAGGTGGGTCACAGTCTTTGTATTTTTCATGGCATTCATGCAGAGTAAGTACCGAAAATATGTGCACTGATGGCTGACGGCCTAAAGTTAACAAGGGTTTAAAGTCATCCCCTGCGTAGCTTCCCACCTTCCAGACCAGTTATCTCTTAACCAGTTTTGGGTTCGAATCCTTTCACGTGTCTGGTCCAAGCTGTGGAGCTTTCCTTAGAAAATAATCCCATGCACACTTGTGCACCGTGTCTTACATACTAAGATTCACGAGTGCCCCAAAGGCCATCTCAGGACCTAGCCCTCTGCTGTACAGATTATGTGATGATACCTCTCCTTTAAGGACCCCCGATGTGGCTGCGTATCATTGTTATCCGGATTTAGAATCAGATTATCTTCATGCTTTTAAGCCCCAATTTGCCTGCCTGTAAGATGGATTAGTGCATATGTCACAGGGGACTTTTAAGAATGAAATGAGATAATGCGGAAAGGTGGCTGGTCCACAGACGCCCAGTAGACATTAATTACTTTCTCTTCCTCCTTTGCAAGAAAGACAGTAGCTTTTTGTGAGGCAGGATCCTACAGTTGTTAAGAACCTGGCTCTGGGGGCACGTAGACGAGAACTTAATCCTATTCTGCCTCCTCGTAGGTTTTCCTATCCATAGAGTGGGGATAAATATGTAAAAACCCTTAATAAAGTGCCTGGCATCTGGCAAAGACTTTGATAATCAGTTTCTGAAAATTTTGACCGTGACAATGGTACTGATAGTGTCTGCTCCACGCAGCTCCATGCCTCCTTGGCTTAGGAATAGCCGGATGTACAGGGTGGATCGAAAACACAGACTTGATTCTAAGGAGGTTAGAATTCAGGGAGCTCTGTCAGTCTACGGAGAACCATTCTAGAGTGCTGTCCCATGGGAACCACCTTGGCTAAAGACAATCCGATGCTTGTGAGATCCATGCCCCTCGGACATCTCTGCCGACTTTCTGAACCCTGGCAAATCAGCACGGAGGATGACAGTTATTGGAGATGAGATGGAACTCAGGCACTGGAGACAGAGCCGCTTTCCTCTGGGAACCCTGGATAACATGAAAACACCGCAACCCCAAGAGAGAACATAAAGACCAATGAAATGAGGCCAATGCATAATGCAGGAGCTCACTTTCTCCCCAACTTAATTCTATTTTGTTAAGTAATGACGGAATAAAAATTCAGGATGGTGGAAGATGAGATTTGCAGCTCTATTTGATCAAATGCCTATGGCTGTCGCTTTCAGCCAAACGGGTCGCTTCATAAACAGATGAATAAATCAGACATCAGCGGGAAGTGAAAAGTCATGGCCAAGGATAAAACGAGACAGAAAATCATTCCTATTCCGTGACGCTCATTTGGGGCATCTCACCCAGGCTGCGGTGGGAGCCCCAAAGTGGCTGATGGAAGATTATTATGGAGTGGGGATTGAACCCTGGATGTGGAGGACGCAAGCCGTTCTTAGGATGTGCCATCTGCCTGAGCCAAGGTCATCCCAGGAAACTCTGAAAAGCCAGCAACTGACCCTCCACCACTAATGCCCCATCTGTGGGATTAACTGGGCTGCGTGGGTAATAATTTATGGGGCATCATTAACCTAATGATATTGGTTCTCTATAAACTGCTTAGTCTGTCTCAGGGAAAATGGATTTCATAAATCTAGGTGGAAAATTCTGGGTGACTCAGGAAGGCTCGTCAGTGGGGCGGGATGGGTCACCAGACAGGAACACTCTATACTCTTGGTTTGGTTGAAGGGCCCTGAAGATCGCTCCTTCATTTTCTTTGATCTGCCAGCCCACACAGTCATTCCAATTGAAGGAGGAAGTGCCCATGGTTGAAAAGTGCAGGCTGGGAAAAAGGTTGTTGATTCTTCCTCGCCTTGAGGTTTAGATCCCACCTATGACCTGCTCTGAAGATTCTGGAAAAGGGAAAAAGATAGCATTCCCAGTGTGGGAAATTCCTGGGCTGCAAAGATCGTATCTTTCCTCATCCAAAAAAGAATCAAGGTCCTTTACACAAGTCAGCTTCTGCATCTGCTACGTGCCAGGTTGTAAGACTCACTACTTTGGAACAGAGGTGCCCGGGAAGCCTCTAAGATTAAGAGACTGAATGGTGAGATGGAACCAGCATACAAGAGCTGGAAGGAAGGGCACTTAGGGGTAGAAAGGTTAGCACGGCAAGTGCAAAGGCCCTGAGGTCAGAGCAAGTTTGACCCGTGTGGGGAACAGAGGGAATTTATTACCGCAATTGCAGGGGGCAGGTCTATCTATTCCCTTTTGAGAGCTGAGAAAACTGAGGCCCAAGGAGATTGGACAGATAATTCCCATCCACCCTAGAAGATGGGATTTGTAGGAAGCGTTGATGGATGCCAATCTGCGCGTGTACCCAGTAGGTCAGGGGTCAGCAAACGACGGCCCGTGGGTTAATCAGGCCTTCACCTATTTTGGTAAATAAAGTTTTATCAGCACACAGCCGTTCACTGACGTTTTGTCTACGGCTGTTTCATGCTCTACCGGCAGAGCTGAGCAGTCCTAACAGAAACCTTGTGGCCCAGAAAGCCTCAGGTGTTTTCTATCTGATCCTTTACAGACAAAGTTCGCACAACCCCTGTGCGAGACAATGATGTCTCTCTTCTCTGTCTCTTCCTTTGCCTTTCGTGGAGGCAGGTGACACGTCACACAGCTTGGGAATATGTGTCATCCAGTTCAGTGTGTGGATCAAAAAAGGAGGAGGAGGAGGAGGAGGAGGAGGAGGAGGAGGAGGGAGAGGCGAAGGAGGAAAGCCGAGAATTTCTTCCACAAGCGAGCCCACGGCGTTGTCTGAGGGAAAGAATGTCCCTTTCAAGTGAGCAGAAGGTATTGATGTCCATGGAGAAAGCATGTGATTTTTGGCCCCCTGGGATTCTCTCTGTCACAGACAATAGAGGGGCGGCTACTTCAGATTATGAAAACTTGACATACTGGGAAAAACAGGTGTTTCGCGAGCCATCGTTCAGAGAAGTCAACAGGACAGTGAACTCACACATCCCGGCAATCTTTTTACTTGTTAACAGCAGCAAAGAGCCATCAGCGTGTACCCCCAAAGCAGCTCAGCCTGTCAGCCTCAGACTGACCACGTTCTTCCCTCTTAACTCGTGTCATCGGCAACCCTTTTCCTTTTCCGCGTAAAAACCTCCTGCCTCCACCCTCCAAGTGGGAGCACAGCCTGGGGATCTACCGGAATCGAATCGGTGCTCGCGGAATTAAAATAGATGCTCATTTGCTTCTTGTTTTCAGGTTGACGAGATCATACCGGAGGAGCAACAGCCCTCGGGGAAAGAAAGCCAGAGGGTGCCTCCATCGACGGTAGCCAAGCCTGAGGGTCCCAGCGAGCTGGGGGACACGCGTCCCATCTTGGCGTTTCCCCAGCGATCGCCAGAGGTTGGTTCACATTGCAGACCAGCCCACCTCTCCCCTTCCCGAGCCTGGGTGATGGCGAAGCGGTGACGTTTTTCCCCAGATGTGTGGGCGCAAGAAGGTGTCCTTCCTGTGGCGAAGCCTTCACAGGGGCTTCTTCCCGTGTCTTCTGCTGGTGTTAGAGTGTCACGTGGGGGAAGGGGGAAGTCACAGAATTCAGAGGAAACCCTCCTGGGTTTCAACCCTGACTCTGACCATGGGAGAGCCGTCAGATTCGAGCAAGCCACTCACTCTTCTGAGTGTCAGTTTCTTCATCGACGGGACAGAGATGACAGCACCTGTCTCGTTGAGTGTTATTAAGATGCAAAAACAAACAAACAAAACACGAGTTTTGCTCCTGAAATCCCCAGTTGCTACTTGAAATCCCTACTCTCGATTTTGAAATGGGGGATAAGGACTATATTTCCCGATCTCCCTGATAGCTGGACATGACCATGTGAGTCTGTTACGGCCAATGAGATATAAGAGGCACTGGTGCCTTAAATTCCTAGAAAAAAAACTTCTTCTTTTTTTGAATCATGTCCACAGTTAATATTTTAAAATCAGGCTATGAAACAGTGGACACCATATGATCCCATTTTTGCAATAAAAAAAATGTTTTAACGTATAATATATAAGCAATGAAAAGGATAAAGATCAAAGAGGTGGTTCTTATGGTCTATGGATGAGAGATGAAGTTTTCTTTTATTCTTAGTGCCCAATGATATTTTCAATTTTTTTCTATGATGAATACACATTTCTTTTCAAAAGGACCTAAAAATCTACAACGCTATTTTACAAATTAAATGACCAGATCCCCAAGTAAATACTTGTTTGTAAAAATGACTATTCACAGAAGGCTTAAAGAACACACCAAGTCCTTGAAGTGCAATACAAAAAAAACCAAAAAAACAAAAACAAGACCAGTCTAATACCCTGCTTTGCTGTCTATTCCCCAACCTTATCCTGTACCCTTTCCCTCTCACCCACATGTCATAAGCGACCGAAGCCCCTCAGTGTCTGGAATGGAAAGCATCTTCTTTTTCCTTCTTCCTGGAAGGTGGAAGGTGGGCGTGATGACTGGAGCTGGAGCAACCATTTTGAGCCACAAAGAGGAAGCCTCGTGTTAAAGTATGAGAACAACGAGCTAGAAAGAACCTGGGCCCCTGGACTCCTTCACAGCAGTTTCTGACTCGGTGAGCGAGAAAGACGCTCCCGTTGTGTTTGTTTAAGCCGTCTTTAAATTTTGAGTTTTCTCTTTCTCAGGGTAGAATGAATCCTGATATACTAGTGGTGTGGCCTTGAGCAAATTTGCTCAATCTCCCTGGGTCTCAGGAACCTCCTCAACAAAATAGGTTTAAAAATCCCAAACCCTTAGAAATGTGAGGACTCAAGAACACAACACGGTAGTTCTCTGCTGCCTCTGATACATTTTGTGATGACGCCCTAGAAATACAGGTCTTCAGGACCCATGCTGAAGCATTTGAATCACCAGGTCTGACACGGGGGCCCGACGATGTCCATTTTTGTCAAGTCTCCCAAGTGACGTGATACTCAGCCAGCTTTGGGAAGCATGTTGCTGAGAGATCCATCTCCTTTCCCTGCTTTCGAAGTCAGAGTTAAGAGATGTGGCGTGCACACATCATACAAGGGGGCTCGCCCACGTGGAGGGGGCCTTACTAAGCCTCCAGCCCGCCCCCCGACCCCTGCACTGCAAATGCCCATCAGCCCTCACCCTCCCCGGAGGAAGGACTGATCTGCTGGTTAACGACAGTGTGAGCCATCAGCAGCCACCAGCTGCTCAGTCCCATCTGAACCGCTCGCTCTGAATTTCTGTTTAAAATGCAGCAGCGTCCGTGGATTATGGCTTGCTGGTTTACATGCTCATGATGGATCTTTTAATCTAATTAAGGGAAGGCAAAGATTTTCCCCTGGCGCTATCAGCTGCAGAGAGCTCTGATTTTTAAGCATAGCATACTAACTGAGAGCACTTATAGGTGCAGGAAAATCTGGGCCCTGATGCTGGCTGTGTGTCCCTGAACAAATCACTTAACTTCTCTGAAGAGCTAGCTTTCACCTCCACGAGCCAGTCTTTGGGCCAAGCCCTTTGCACGCATAGACCCGCCCCACCAACAGCCCATGAGGCAGGTGTCTTCATGATTCCCATTTTACAGACGGGGAAACGGAGGCTCAGAGGGGCTACCTAAATAGCCCAGACCACACAGGGAGTAAATGGTGTGACTATGATAGAACAACACTATCTGGCTGATGGACCGGGCAGAGAGTGAAATCGTCGAGTGTCTCTGGAGAGTTTAGCACGGCTGTGACCCACTAGGTTTAACATTCCCCGTTGTAACAATTAGCTACTATTGTTACTGTCATGATTATGAGGTTGTCACCGATGGAGGTGGCATGGGAGCCAGGGAGCACGGAATCATCCAGGAAAAACAGTGCTCCCGTCCAGGTGGAGGAGCGCGGGAGAGAGAACAAGATCGACGGAGGGCTGCTGTCGTCCCACAGAGCTGCCTGTCCTGGTCCAGATTGGAGCTGATGGCTCGGGAGATGGTTGTCTCATTGGACACTGTGTCTTAACTATGATGTATTTCAGAGCACATTTCAGACAACGGGAGCAAACACCTCAGCGTTTCTGTAAAGCTGCAGAGTCACTTGGGCCACTGAAACTCGTCCTGGAAGTTCCATGTGTGTGGTTCAGATGGACACAGCATCCCCGAAATGGAAACAGAGGTGGGATCTGGGCCCTTGACTCCCAGAACTGTCTTCTCATCTGAGCGGATACCCAGGAGCTTGGGGCTCTGAAAAGTAGAGTTTGAAAGTCATTACTCTTACGGAAGAGGAAACTGAGGCTTGGTTGGGAGTAAGGTCACGTATCCCAAGTCATTCATGCATTAATAAAAGACTGTTAAGCCTGACTCTAGGATTCTTCCATGGCCTCCGTTGGTAAAGTGAGAAATGCAATGGGATTTTCTTCGGGAAAGTGGATATATTATATGGGGAGTGGGGTGCTCACAGATCTCCAAATCCATTCATGATTATCTACAGGACAGGGTGGACTGAGACTGGACCCATTAGCCAGGTGGCCTCCCCAAGATGCTGGGGGGGGGGTGTCCCTTGACCTGGAGGTTTCTCAGACTGTTGGGTGACATTGTGCCACCTGTGGAGGAATATGTGAGCTAGGAGAGGCACGGGAAGACAAGAGAGGACAGTAGAGGGAGGGAGATCAGAGATAATACGAGAGGAGAGAGGAGAATGAGACTGACTGGAGTGGACAGACGCTTGGGGAGACCGTTGAGGACGAAGTATAATTTTCCCTCTACCCTTCGAGGTTCTCGGCTGAGACGCTCCCTGCAATGAAAGATCACCAGGAGAAAAACAAGCAGAAGTTTGATCACATGCATACCTCCTACATACATGGGATCAACCCAGGAAAACGGAGTAACTTCCCCAAATGGCCCAAACCACCACCGTAAACAACCTCTCCAGCTAAGCACAAAAGGTGGAGAGGGGAGGGAGGCCAGTTATGGGAGGTGACCAGAAAAGGCACAGGAAAGAAGGGTGAGGTAGTCGTGCAGATTTAAGTCCCTGCTTTCTCCATTGATAGGAGTTTCTAGAGATTTCCAGTCACCTTTCTCCTCCTGATGCTGAGAGATACCCTTACAAATGGAGATGTCCCCCACAAACGTCAATGTCTCGTATGGAAGAGTGATTTCCACTTCCCTCAGTTTTTAAAGCTTTTCCTACATCTGCCGTTTCTTAAAAATTATCAGCTGTTAAATAACAAAAATTCAGCTGAGTCAACTTGAAGATCTATTGGTTTTATGAAATGATTCCTGAATCAGGCGGCATTCCATCCAGCAAGTAGAAAGGAGCTCCACTGAGCTGTACAAAAGGAAAGGTTTTGAAAGGCAGAGGGTGATTGGGGTAGGGGAATAGGAAAAGATGAGCAAAGAATGCGTTGTTTGAGGCAAAGTTGCCCTCCTAAGGGGAACGAAAGGGATCTATCAATCAGTTTCCCAGTGCTGACCAGGAATTTCCAGGTTGGCTGGTTAAACGTCACATTCCTGTAAAATTGAAACCACAGTTAGGTTAGGTATTAAGTCTTGCTTTGCTGATGTGGGGCCTCAGCATAAGTGACGCCATTTTGGGCCTGTGGTTTTCTTTTTAACACAGCCTAAAATAGACTTACACCCAAGAGGCCTGTTTAGGGGGAGCATAGTCTGTTCCCCTTCAAGAGTAAAGGAAGCCCCTCCGCCAGGAGACTGTGAGCTAGCAGGGAGGAGCTGGACTCTCTGGGAAAGTAGCTGCCTGTTGGCCGTGCCCTCCAGCAGCCTTCTAGGCCCATTGCTTGCTGCCAGCTTCCTGTAGATGCCAAAACCAATATTCCCAGAAGAGCGCTTGGAGCCTGGAAGGAGGGATGAAAATGCCGTCTCCAGCAATAGCCCAGCCATTGCTGAGGTCTCAAAAGCATCCTCAATTCCACTATCCCTCCCCCTTCCCTCCCACCCATCTCTGAATCTAGAGGTCCCCTCGGTGACTGGTGAGCGGGCTTCTCAGTGGGAGGGGCGCTGCCCGGCTCCACGGGGCGAGGGGTTGGACCGGCAAGGGTTCCCGGGCAGCCCCAGGTGGACACATGGACAAGGCCAGGGCAGAGTGGTCCATGATCCCAGAAAGTGGGACCAGATTCCAAACCCAGAAGAGCAATGAGAACAGGGTGATGAACAGGTCCCTGTTTTGAACCATTCTGCCCAGTTGACTTGCAGAGCATGGGGAGTGGGGGAGGGGTGTGGGGGTGGGGGGGTGGGGAAGAGAGTAGGATATGAGAGACAACGAGACAGTAAGAGAAAAGGAAATATGAAGGTCAGGGACGTGGTTAAGAACTTGATCTGTGTAGTTCTTGCCTCTCTCCATCCGTCCGTCCGTCCATCCGTCCATCCTTCCATCCCTCCCTCCCTCCCTCCCTCCCCCCTCTCTCTCTCAATCCCTCTCTCTCTGCACATACATCACCAAATATTTATGGAACACATTCCAGGTTGTGCTAGGCACTGGGGATATGGCAGAGAATATGACTCAACAGGTACCTGCTCTCAAAAACCTGATGAAATTCTGGAGTGAAGATAAAATAATCAGCTAAATAATTAAAAACCATGTAGTGATAAGGGCTTCAATGAGACAGAAACAGGAGAATTTGGTGGAGACTGAGAAACTGCCTGATTTTTCAAATTAATTCTTTAATAGCTAATGCAAATACACGATTCAGACTTTTAAATATACATTTAATTTCTATTATCATCAAGACAATCCGTGAATATAGTTTGAACATCCAAATAATGCAGGGAGGTGGGGGAGAAGAGGTGCTCGTACCTACAGAGCTTGCTTCAGATTATCAAGGCAATTCTACATGTTATTTTGCTTCTCGCAGCAACCTGGTGAAGTAGGAATGTCTAGCCCCATTTCCCAGATAAGGAAACTGAGGCTCAGGTTACATAGATTTCATAAAGTCATATTCTTAGGAAATACTGGGGCTGAGTCCCTCAGGCCTTGGCTTTGTCTGTGGCTTACTTGGGCCCACTGTGGACCCAATGAACGATCCCCAAGGAAATCCCCTTGGAGGGGTACAGAGATTTAGTTACAAGGATGTTCACTGCAATGTTATTTATGATATTGATGGAAAGGAACCCAAACTTCCACCAATAGGGAATTGGTTAGGTAAACAAGAGATACACGGGAATACTACATATAATCTTGTGATCTCTCTCTCTCTCTTTTTGTAAATTTTTTTAATGTTTATTTATTTTTGAGAGAGAGGGACAGAGCACGAATGGGGGAGGGGCAGAGAGAGAGAGAGGGAGACACAGAATCCGAAGCAGGCTCCAGGCTCCGAGCTGTCAGCACAGAGCCCGACGCGGGGCTCGAACTCATCAACCTTGAGATCATGACCTGAGCCGAAGTCGGACGCTTAACCGACTGAGCCACCCAGGCGCCCCATCTTCTTATATATATCTTGAAGGCAACACAAATCTTCATTAGAGCTTCTCAGAGACCATCAAAGAGGACTCGATTTTGTAATCCTTAGCAACCCTTCAAAAAGTCCTCTTTCCCCATTTTTATTTTCTTGCATCTTCATGTTTTCCTGATACTTCTGAACCACCCCGTTTCCACTGACACTCAGTTGCCTGAGGACCTTGCTTCTCCTCCTCTTCCTCCTCCTCCTCCTCCTCCTCCTCCTCCTCCTCCTCCTCCTCCCCATTTCCTTGTATCTTTATTCTTTTTCTCTCACAAGAATGAGAATCCCTTGTCCTTACTTATCCGGTTCTTTTTATACACAATTTTGCTCTGTAAAAACTCAAGAATCCAGATGGTTAACACAGAAGTATTTCTACTAGTGTGGGGGAGAAAGACAGAATGTTAAACAGGCAACCACAGGATTATCTTCAGCCGGTGGAAGAGGGTAAAAGATGTAAACAATCAAACATGAAGATATTTTTCATCTATCACACTTAAATTTTATTTTATTTTTTTTAAATTTTTTTTTCAACATTTATTTATTTTTGGGACAGAGAGAGACAGAGCCTGAACGGGGGAGGGGCAGAGAGAGAGGGAGACACAGAATCGGAAACAGGCTCCAGGCTCCGAGCCACCAGCCCAGAGCCCGACGCGGGGCTCGAACTCACGGACCGCGAGATCGTGACCTGGCTGAAGTCGGACGCTTAACCGACTGCGCCACCCAGGCGCCCCTATCACACTTAAATTTTAAAAGCTTTGTTATTTTGTGGGGTGACCGGGTGGGTCAGTGGGTTAGGCTCAGGTCACGATCTCATGGTTTGTGAGTTCGAGCCCCATGTCAGGCTCTGTGCTGACAGCTCAGAGCCTGGAGCCCTCTTCGGATTCTGTGTCTCCCTCCTTCTCTCTCTCTCTCTCTCTTTCTCTCTGCCCCTCCCCCACTCACGCTCTGTCTCCCTCCCTCAAAAAAATAAATAAACATAAAAAAAACCCCTCTGCGTGGAAGAGTGTCAGGAATCCTCACCAACTGTGAAGGTGCTCTGGATGGATATTTGAGAACTAGGGAATAATTCTGGAAAAATCCAAAGGCAATTTCCTAACCATAGCCACCGGCTTCCGGAGAGGCAGAAAGAAACATGCCCCAGGATGGGGCTCCCTCCTCTGCAGAATGGGAGCTGAAGCCAATGTCTGGGTTTCGGCCTCCAGATGAAGGGAAATAAATCATTTTTCTTTGGCACCTGCATCAGGAGGGAGGGGCTTCACAATCTCGTCTCTATTCAGAGTCACTTTAACACAGTGTTGACAGTCCTAGATAGAAAGAAGTGACCAAAGGCAGACAGACTCGGCAAGCTCCCAGAAAGGTGGGGTTTGTATTTCTTTTTTTTTTTTTTAATTTTTTTTTAACGTTTATTTATTTTTGAGACAGAGAGAGACAGAGCATGAACGGGGGAGGGGCAGAGAGAGAGGGAGACACAGAACCGGAAGCAGGCTCCAGGCTCCGAGCCATCAGCCCAGAGCCCGACGCGGGGCTCGAACTCACGGACCGCGAGATCGTGACCTGAGCCGAAGTCGGGCGCTCAACCGACTGAGCCACCCAGGCGCCCCGGGGTTTGTATTTCAAGCAGCCACCCGAAAGGGGTGTTCACTGGAGTGTGAACTTTTTAGATGTGCTCCTGCTCGAAGCTTCCGGGCTTTCTTCTCCTTGTAGTCCCAACTCCTCTTTCTGGGGCAGTGGGGGGTGGACTTCATGCGGCTCGGTTGGGCCGACCCCACTCTGGTCCCCCCCCAACGAGGGACGTGTGGCCACGTGTAGTTGATTAGAGTCTCTCCTTCTGGCCACAGGGATTTGTTCGATGGTGAGTTTGGTGAACCAGGCTGGCCAAGCAGAGCCCTTCCTCGGAGCTTTCTACCG